TATCAAATTTTACCTTGTACACCCATTTTGAATCCAATGCTTTTTTATTTGTAGGAAGGTCTGAAAATTTCCAAGTTATGTTGCTATCTAGGGCACTCAATTCTTCCTCCATGGCCTCTTTCCACTCTTTGTTGGCTGAAGCTTGAGAGTAATTTGTTGGTTTAACAACCTTCATCACATTATTAAGAGAAATAATGAAGTCACTGCTATCATAGAACTCACTCTCAGTGAGCTTATGAGCACTAAAGGAGGGGGACTGATCATCATGGTCAGTTGTATTGCTTGGTAAATCAACCTCAAAGTTCTTAAATTTTCTTGGAACCTTTTTGTCCCCAGAAGATTTCTAGATTGCAAGGGTCAACTGATCTGTTTCCTGCAGGAATTCCTGCAAATTTTCTTCAGTTTTTGGTTGCTTTTCTTCTTAAGAAAACACATTTTCAGCTGTTTCTTCCTGTACTTATTCATCCTCCATATCTCCATCTTCATCTAGATCCACCTGCCTGGATGTCTTCATTGACTAAGGGAATGTTGTTGTAAATCCCTTTATTTTCACTTAGATCATTTTTAAGGTGCAAATAAGGAAAGATTTACTCCTTAAGCTTCACATGTATGTTGTTAAAAGCTTTCCTTTTCTGCAAATCATAAAACTTGTAATGCTTCTAAGCTACGAAATATCCAATCAGGATAGCTCTAATTCCCTTCGCTACAAACTTATCATTATTTTTCTTTGCTTCACTAGCATAACAAAGACAACCTATAGTTCTGAGGTGCTTGTAATCAGGTTTCCTTTTCCATAATCTTTCAAAAGGTGTTTTCCACCCTATGACATCACTTGGCACCTTGTTCACTACTAGAAAACAGGCTAATTGCAACGGACTGCTTCTGACAGACCCAATATTCCGTCGGAAAAAGCTAAATTTCTAACGGATTTTTATTCTGTCGAAAATTTCCGACGAATTCATCAATTCCGTCCAAATTCCGTCGAAAATTTCCGAAGGAATAAAAATACGTCAGAAATGTAGCTTTTTCCAACGGATTTTTTGTCGGAAATGAACTTTTTCCGACGGATTCATAGTCCGTCGAAAATTTTCGACGAAATATTCCGTCGAAATTTTTTTTTTAAATAAAACACATTACCTCTATTAAATTCTAAAGGCAATCCGCCTCTTCTCCCTATCTTGGTCTTTCGTCTTCTCCCTCTTCTCTCCTTTCTCCTCTTCTCTCTCTATCTCCTTCTCTCTGTATCTCCTCTTCTTCTCTCGATCTCCTCTCTCCTCTTCTCCTCTCTCATTCACCTTTTCTCTTATTCTCCTTTGTCTCCTTCTCTCTGTTTCTATCTCCTCTCTTTTTCCCCTCCACTTTCCCCTCTTTAACCACCACCACGACAACATTAACAACGACATCAACAAGTAATCACTGACATCAACAACAACGAAGGTTAGGGGTTGTCTTATTTTGCCCTTTTGCTCTCTTCTCAGGCTGAAATTAAAGGTTTTTTGGTCAAATTCGACCATGAAAACTCTAGATCTAGAGTTTTCATGGTCGAATTTGACCTCTTAAACCCAATTTCGAGGTTATATGAAGTTAATTAAGGTATGTATTTCTGTTTTTTTTTTTTTTTTTCAATTTTGACTTTATTTTGTTGTTTTATTGGTTTTTTTTTTACAATTTATTGTGGTGGAGGGTGGTGGCTGTTAGACGGAGAGATCGCATTTGGGGGTTGCGTTTGGATTTGAATTTTTTTTTCCTTTTTTTTTTTGTTATTTTTGGGTTGTGATGATTTTCGGGGGTGGCGGTGGTGATTTTAGGTGGGTGGTGGGGTAATCTGGTTAGGTGGTTGTAGCGGTGGTGGTTGTACGTGGGTAGTGGGGTGGTGGATCTGGTTAGGTGGAAGGTGGGTAGGGTTCTGGTGTGGGTGGTGCAACGGGCTAGTGTGGGCTGGTGATACGGATGGTGGGGTTGGGTGTGGGTCTTGTGACTTGGTGGGGGTTTGGCTGGTTGTGTGAGGTGTGTGTAGGTGGTGTGGGGCGACGGCTTGCGATGGTACGGGGTGGCGGTGTGCTTTTTTTTTTTGTTTTTTTTAAAGCATTTTCTTATGGAAATTCCGTCGGAAATTTACGACGGAATTCAAGTCCGTCGGAATTTTCTGATGGACTTTGACGAGCTTGAAAATCACTTCCAATGGACTGAATTTTGTCGGAAAAAAGGTGTTTTTCCGACAACAACTTTTCCGATAACCAGTTACGACGGAATTTCCGTCGAAATCGGGTTTTCCGACGGAAAACAGGGTGTTTTCGACGAAAAAATTGCGTCGGAATTAGCTTGTTTTCTTGTAGTGGTTGTTGTGAGTTGCTGCCAAGACACATTCTCCCCAAAATCTATTAAGCAACCCTACATGAATTCTCAAAGCTCTTGATGTTGCAATAAGGTGTCTATGCTTTCTCTCTACCCTCCCATTTTGTTGTGGGATACCAGGTATGCTTGTTTGATGTGCTATTTCCTTTCTAGCAAAGATTTAGCTACATTCTGATTGGACTATCTCAGTCCCATTATCAGACCGAATAATCTTTACTCAAGAACCAAATTGGTTCTCAGTGTATGCAAGGAATTTTTATAACACATCTCTCACAATTTCTTTTTTTTTTTTTAATAGATGCACCCAAAACTATAATCATCTACAATGGTCAAAAAGTATGTTGATCCATCTATATTTAGAGTTCTACATGGACCCCATAAGTCAACATGCAAGAGATCAAAGATTGCAGATGTTATACTATTACTAGCAGGAAGGGTAAGTTTATGATGTTTAGATACTAAACAAGTATCACAGTACAGCAAACCTCTTGACAGATTAGCAATTACAAAAATCCAAGTGTTTCATTTTTGACAAAGATCCATGCCCAAGCCTAGCATGCATAACATCTAGAGAAACTGTATTATAACAAAATAAAATTTCAGAATTATTTACCAAGCTTGTTGTTAAGACAGTCCTTCTTGTTGATGATTTACTCCTCAAATGCTTACTTAAAGTGAACTTGTACAGATCATTAGTAACCTCCCCAAAAGCTAAGCTTTCTCCATTAGTAGGGTCCTGAAACACACACCCATTTTCATCAAAAATTACTTTGATGTTACTGCATCTTATTATCTTACATAAGGATAATAAGTTGTTCTTGAATTCTGGCAGATATAAGACATCGTACAAAACAATTGTTTTTCCTAATTTCACAGTTCCTATATGAACCACCTTCTTTATTGTTCCATCTGGTAAGACCACTTTAACAAGTTTAGGTAAGTTTCTCAAGCTATGAAACAGATCCTTGTTTCTAGTCGTATGGTCTGAAGCCCCAGAGTCAATAATCCAGGAGTTGTAATCAAAGTTTTCCTGAAAACTAGCAAAATTTGAGTAGGAGATTATACCTGCAAAGTTTCTCATAGCATTCCCTTTTCCATGATTGCTCCCTGCTCCTTACTTCTCCTAAAAATCCCTCATTACTTCCTTGACCACAGCTGAAATCATTCCTGCATCAAGTTTACTCATAGACCCACTTCCAGTGTCATACTCTTCTTCATCCAAAGGTGAGTCCATTTCTGCTTCCAGCTTGCCAACATTATATTAGTTGTTGTCCTCTTCCCTTTGTACCAATCAGGAAACCCATAGATCTTAAAGCACCCAGACCTATCATGCCCTTTTTTCTTGCAGTGATCATAAGTCACATCTTGTTTTGGTTTTCTCGTTTCCTTTCTCTGGTACCTGTTGTCACTCTTCTTGGATGAAACATATTGCCTTGCTTCCTTTTGAAATTAAAAAGTTGAAGCCTCTGCAATATCCTGCTTATTACCTGACACTTTCTTCTGCTTCCCAGTTTGTTGCACCATGTGAAAAGCTTTGTTGACACTAGGCAAAGGATCCATATTGAGAATGTTCTCTCTAACATTATGGTATCCTCTGTTCAATCCCATTAAGAACTGAATCACCCTATTTGTCTCAACCATGGACAACATTTTCTTGTACATGCTACATGTGCATTTTGCTACAATCCCACAGGTACACTCTAGTATTGCTTCAATGTTGTATATTTCATCCCAAAATTTCTTCATCTTATAGTAATAATCTCCCATAGACATGTCTCCTTACTCGAGTTTTCTAAGGTCCTTCTTGAGCTGATACAAGAGAGGTATATTGCTCTCTGAATATCTCTCACTCAACTCATCCCATAGCTGTTTGGAAGTTTGAACCAAGCTCAAACCTCCTACAACCTCATCATGCCTTTCCCATTTGTTGTAATCTTTGTGACCACTTGCTGGTATTGGTATCTTACCCTCAATGAAAGCTTTCTTGTTCTTAGCCCCTAGAGCTAGCTTCACGTTTCTGCTCCAAATCATGAAGTTACTTCCATCATATAACATTAGTGTCAAGGAAGAAGCATGATTATCATAATGTGACAGGAACAAAGGGTCTTGATAGTTCATCAGAGAATCAGAAGATTCATTTTCTGGCATTTTGGAAGATTAAAAAAGGAAACTGATCGAGGAAAAAGGAGAAAAATTTGAGATTTCAGGAAGATTTTAACCTAGTAGCTCTTATACCATGTAGAAAACTGAATATTTTGTTCAGATTTCTTCTAAAGCTTCGATTTTTAGGTTGAGTTTTCCTTTCTCTCAAGGAATAATTTAGAGAATGTTTTCTCTGATATTTCAGTAAAACGGTGCTCAATCCAACTTGGGATTAGCAAATATAAAAGGTTACAATATATACAACAAGCAAGCCACTAACAGACTTACAACTAGGCTGCACAAAAGACAAAAAAGACAACAAGAATATGTTGTACAAAGCAGAGAAATACAGAGGCGCTATACATAAAAAATACATATATACTTGCGTATTTGAGCTGGTTTTCTTCATCTAGCAAGTTCAAAAACCATTAGTGACAATGACATGAATTGTTAATATTGTGACATTCATATAAAATTACCTAACAAAATCAACAAAAAAAACATTGAAATAAAATTGTTTTTTAGTTGCTTGGACTTTTTTCTAATATATCAAATAAAAGAGAAGCATATAATAACCTATTCCAAGTATCTGGAACACCAGGAAGGCACCAATGACTACAATCAGCATAACTATTGCTATTTTTCTCATCTTTAGTAATGTACAAAGATGGATGAGCGTCAATTCGATGTTCCGAAAGCTTGGTAGTGTTCAAGTATTTCACTTGAGGTTTACTCATCCCTTTTATAACTCCCTCAACGGCGTCTACCATGGATTTTGGGAAGCCCGACACAAAGGAATCATCCCTTATAGGCTGTGTTTTATTAAAGCACCATTGATCATGTTTTCTAAGTCGGTGCACGGGTGAATATCCATTGAAGAACACAGTTGTTTTGTTTGGATCAACGTTTTTCTTTATCCATGTTGCCCACGTTTTCAAGCCTCGTTCATATGCTAATTCAATTGGCATTTTCTTTTTCAATTTTCCCTTGTACTCGAACACCTCCCACCTGTAAACACATATATATGAATAATATTGCAAGATAAATTGTGAATTTAACATTAATGTAAGTCCATTCAAAGATCTATGCTAAACACAATTTTATACTTCATCGAGTTTAATAGAGTATGTAAATGTATTTTATAATCTTGGCCTTGTTACCTGATTAAGTGCATTTTCACACTCGCTCCCCTTACATAAACCCACTGATCAATTTGGCCCAAATATTAATTTAGATACTCTATTAATGCAATTAACGGCCAAGATTATTAATGCAATTAAAGGTATCAAACAAGTTCAAACTGATATGATAACTAAAAGTCAAGATTAAGGGTCTATTCACATTTATTGAACTAAGCTGAATTTAACTGAACTGAACTGATTGGAGCTGAACTGAACTGAACTGAACTGAGCTGAAATGAATATTTTATGAGAGAGGGAGATTAGAAGCTGAACTGAACTGATTTGAGCTGAACTCGACTGATTGGAGCTGAACTGAACTGAACTGAACTAAACTGAAATTAAGTAAATGTGAACAGACCCTAATTTAGATACTCTATTAATTTATATATTGGAAATTCTATGAAAAACTACCTATTATAGTCCATAATTTGCGAGAAACTACCTATTAAAAAAAATATTGTAATTGACTACCTGATTTTTGAAAAATGTTGTAATTACTACCTTAGGCCAGAATATGAAATTTGACCAAAATTCTCCGACATTGACTTGGTCATGTGAAACTCACGTGACATTTAAAGACGCTATTCTTCCCAAATTTCCCCCAAAAATTTTCCCACTATAACCCCTAATTTCACCATTGTTTCCCAAAACCCCCCAATTTGAGTTTGAAGTATGAGGCAATCTCTCCCTCTGTAGTGCGCGATTGAGGTATTTCTTCTTTAATTTAGTTTTGTATAATGATTTTGATTGAAACCCTTTAACAATTGTTGATTTTGTTCCCAAAAAATTCGTTTCCATGAGATTGAACACTAAACTTCTTGCTTTGCTCTAATTTTTTGGCCTAATAATGATTTTGTGGCTGTTGGGGTGGTGAGCAGCAGCGTTTGGTGGCGAGAGGTTGAGATGGGTGTGCTGCAATGGACGTGCGATTATTGCGGGATGGCGGATGAGTGGGAGTAGTTGTGGCTGTGATGTGAGATGGAGTTAATTGCTGGTGGTGAGTGGTGGCAGTAGTTGCTGCTGTTGTCGTGTTATGGGCGAGAGAACAGAGATGGCTAGGGTTGCGGTTTGTGTTGTGGGTGCTTCTTGGTGTATGCGGTGGAGCAGGGCATCAATTGGAGATTGGTAATGGAGGTTGGTCGTAGTTGTGGTGGGCAATTTTGGGGAAAAAAGGGAGGAATGAAAAGAATCATTAAATGTCACATGATCAAGTCAACGTCGGAGAATTTTGGTCAAACTTCATATTCCGGTATAAGGGAGTAAATTACAACATTTTTCAAAAATCATGTAGTCAATTATAACATTTTTTTAATAGGTAGTTTCTCGCAAATTATGGACTGTAATAGGTAGGCTTTCACAAAATTTCCTTAAATATTCTATCTGTTTTATATTAAACGCATCACAGACAGTGGCGGATCTTGGCCGAAAACATTAGTAGGGCCGGAATTTAAATATTTAACCTCTTCCTCAAAAGTATCATTATATCCAAAAATTTTATTAGTAAATATAGGTTATTTTAGTTCATCAACTAATTAATTACAATAATTTACGGAGGGCCAGACTCCGAATAACCTCAGTGGAAGGTCCTGTTCTGATCACAGAGAGCCAGAGGGGGTGATCTCCAAAATGTAATGGGTTAAATTCTCATTGGTAACCATCAACTTTTGCTTATTTTCATTGGTAGCCACTTTGTATATGAATTATATTTGGTAGCCTTTAACTTTTAAAATGTTACTTCCGTAACCTTATATGGATAAAAACGTTAAAATAAAAGTTAACTTTGATTTAGAGTCATTTTAATTGTTTAATCTTTAAAATTAATATTAAGGAAAATTTGTCAAAAAAAATCTTTTAATTAGTCTCTAATTTTTTTTTTCTTTCTTTAAATCATTCTCTAACCCACCTTTTTATTTAACAATTAAATTTAATTTATAAAAACACCACCACCTCCCAACCACTAGCCAACCACCACCTCCCAATTCTCAACCACTAGCCAACCGCCACCTCCCAACCACCCCCTCCCCCATCGGACCCCCCACCCAGATCCCCCACCCCCGACGACCTCCCTTTACCGTCGGCCAACCATCCCTTACCTCATCAATATTTGGCTCTAATTTTCAATATTTGGCTCTAATTTGGCTGAAATTTATTGCAATTTGCTTCTAAATTATCCTAGCAACATATACATACATAATCAAAACCAAAACAAGCATCAATTGCAAACAAGATGCAAAAAATTAGAAACCCCCAAATTGATTTTTCTAGGGTTTACGAACAAATTAAAAATTACAAAATTCAAGCATATTATAAGATAAAATTGAAGCTAAAATACATTGAATGTGTGGGAGAACTTTATTTGAAGCTTCTATAGCAAATTTTGGTAGTGTGTTTGAGAGTGTTTGTGGGAGAAATGAGAGGTAGATGTTCGAAAGGAGGGGGAGGTGGAGGGTTGCAGCAGGCCGGAGGTAAAGGGGGAAGGGGAGTCGACCAACGGTGGAGGTGGTTCGCCGAGGATGAGGGATTGTAGGTGGCGTAGGGGAGGAGAGTTGTTGCAAGGGAAGGGGAAAAGGAGAGGGCTGCTGCAAGGGGAGGGGTAAAGGGAGGAAGGTGATGGGTGGTGGTGGTTTTTGTTGTTTTTTTTATTTTTATAAATTAAATTAATTATAAAATGGTTAAGTGAGTGTTAAAAGGATAATTAGAATAAATTAGAAGTTAATTAAGTGGATTAGAGGCACTTGATTTTCTTCAACAAAAAAACTCTACATTAGGGTTTTCTTTTGCCAAAATGTTAAAAATCGAGTTTCGTTTAGCCAAAAAACTTTTAAAAGGTTTTTTTTTTCGTAAAATGGTGAATTTAAAAGGTTTTTTTTGACAAATTTTTCTAATATTAAAAAAAAATATTTTCATCTTTCCTCCTCCTCCACCCCCGTACTGTTCCTCTTTCTCTCCTCCCTTTGCTAATTAATTATTTTTATCTCTTAGAATTCTCCCCCAGATTGTTTGATGAAAGGTAGATCTAAGCCTCATTATAGCTTACTTTGACTTTCTGAGTTCTCCATCGAAACGACTTTTGAGCCTTTTGTCTTCCATTGAAATAGTTTGTGAGGTAAGATGATTTTTGTAATCATCGAATAACAATTTTCCTTTGAAGCGTAATCCATGTTCTCCATGGTGGTTCGATTGTGGTGAGGGCATGGCAGTGGCGTCACCAGGATTTTCGAACTGTGGGTTCGAAACTTCCGAAATTTGAAATCATAATTAACAAAGGAATAAAAATACAATAATGAAAACTAGTCTGCTGCACACAGCACACACATGATAAATGCAGAAGGAAATCAATGAATGAACGAAATAGCATATGAAATTATGAAAACTAGAAGGCAGAATAGCCGGGCTAATGCTGTGACTTCTCCTGGCTCTTATAGAAGTGTACTTATACCTCTATAGCTCTACCTTATGTAGAGGAGTTGTATTATCACGTTTAATTCTTAGTCGGTACAAGACTAATTATAATCATCTAAATAAAATCATACCAATCCAAGCAATAACATCAACCACTCTAGCTAATTAGAAGGTAGAAATTAGATTGTTTATTATTCTTGATCAACAAATAGTTAGAATGTTTACGATAAGATATTGAGCAAGGTGAGGCCATATGTTGAAACTTTTCAAGAGAATGTTTTTATGCTACGAGGTAATTAACAAAGTCTAGCCCATTCAACATTCTTACAACTTTTCAGAGGTAATTAACAAAGTCAAGCCAATTTAACACTCTTACAATTTTTCAAGAGAATATTTATACTTGAAATATAAGATAATTATAACCAAATTTCAGCAATTTACAAAAAATTCTGCAATTTGTAATGTATATTAGCAATTTAGCATATGAATTTCAAGTATTAGCATAATAGCATATGTATATGTATATTAGCAATTTAGCATATGAATTTCAATTTTCAAGTATTAGCATATGTATATGTATATTACTATATTAGCAATTTAGCATATGTATATTAGCAAAAAATCCCCAAATTCACTTACCCCTACATACGGTGGGTCTGCTCCGCCACGGCGCCACTCAGGGGCGGAGCTACGGTGGTCAGCTGAGTGGCTGACTAGCGACTACTGGCCTACTGCCGACCTGCCGTGCTGCGGTGCTGGCTGAGTGCCTGAGTGGCTGCTGCGGACTTCTGCGGTGCTGCGCCCGTGCGCCGGGAAGAGAAGGAGCCAAGGAGGAAGAATGGGAAGAGAAGGAGCCAAGGAGGAAGAACGGGAAGAGAAGGAGCCAAGGAGGAAGAACGGGAAGAGATTAAGAGAAGGAGGAAGAAGTTAGGGTTTTGCAATTTGGGGGAATGAGGAAGAGGAAAGCTGGAAGCAGGGGATTAGGGGAAGCAGGATGAAAGGAAACAAAATGAAAAAATAAAAGTGTGAGTTATGGGTTTCGAACCCTGAACCCACAAACTCTTGTATCATTGTATGATGAGAGGTAAAAATAACCACTGGGCTACAACTTTACTTGTTGCCATATAATACACAAATATTCTATTTAAACCTATTTTGATTTTTTTTTTTTAAAAAAAAAAAGTTTTTAATTTTTTTCAAAAAATCAGTGGGTTCAATGAACCCACTTGAACCCACCGTGGCTCCGCCCCTGGGGCATGGTTGTGATATTTGATTCGATTGCTGGGTGGGATTGATTGGGCTATAATTGGAGCTTGCGGTGTTGCTCGGTACTGCGGCGGTTTGGTGCTGTTGGCTGCAGGTTGGTGCAACGGTGGTTGGTTGTTCGGCAGCTACAATGTGACGGTTGTGAGGAGTTGCCCGGTTGTTGGCTGGTGTTTTAGGTTTGGTGCGTGAGGGAGCAAGGGAGGCAGCGGGGAAGGGTGGGTCGTTGCCGGCAGCGGAGGGGAGAGGAGAAGGGGTGGCTGGACTGGTTGCGGGAGGGTGTTCTTTTTTTTTTAATCAAATTATAATATAATTAACCTTAGTTAATTTTTTTTTTTTAATTTTTATAAAACTAACCTCAGTTAAACTTAACGGCTAATTAACAATATTTAACCAAATAAGCAAACGGAAGTAACATTTTAAAAGTTGAAGGCTACCAAAGATAATTCATACAAAGTGGCTACCAATGAAAATAAGCAAAAGTTGACGGCTACCAATGAGAATTTCTCTACTTTTAATATATGTCATGTTAAATACTCTATATTTCAAGGATACCTAGCGTTCCCAAAACGATTTCATATTATGTAAAAATTTATTTAGCTAAACCACATGTAAGAAAAGTTATTAGATTATTTGCTTCAGATTGTTTGTGGTTTGTTCACTTCTAATCTATAGGAATACGCTCTCCATCCCGAGTGATCGTGTTAGGAGTCATTAATAGTAGGTCTTACCGGTATTCCTTACTTTTAGCTTAGTTTATTTTGCACTATATATGTTATATATTGTTCGTATTTCAACAGATTGAATACAAGTTTTGTTCTTCTTTTTTCTATCTCACACTCCACATATAATACATTGGCGGGGTGTTTGGATTGTGAGAATGGGAGTTTGGGGATTAAAATGTGATAATGGGATTGGGAATTAATTGATGGGACTACATAAAAATATTTCAATACCTTGTTTGGATAGTGGGTGAGAATATGTAGGGAATAAATAACAATTTTACAAAAATACCCTTACGAAGATTATTATTTCATTCTTTTCATTAAAGGTAAAAATGTCATTTTCCCCTTATTCTCATTCCTATCCATTTATTACCTACCCTTCCTAGGTAATAAGATGGTGGGAATTCACCCATAAATAATCCCATTCCCTAACCCTTTTTTATTACCATTCCCACCAAACAAACAAAGCTTATTTTTTCAATTTGAATTAAAATTCTCAATCCCACCCTCAATTTCCACTTGCCAAACACCTCCTGGTATTAATTTAGAAATACGTGAACAAAATGCACCAATCATTTTCCACTTTAAGCTAATTAGCTCCTTCTCCAAAAGTTGTGCCCCAATGTCTAGGTATAATCATTTACTTATTATTAAGATAAATATTAAGATTATGAATGAAAACTAAGGTTGTCAATTAAATTATTGTAAAAAGGTAAGTCTTGTATGTGGCTAGCCACAAGGTATGTCCACATTGATTTATTAGAACAATCTTCACTTATATGTATGATTGAGTAACGTCACTTTTTTCATAAGAGTAATCACATGTTGTCCACAAAAGTAAGAGTAATCACATGTTGTTCATAAAAGTAACCCAAATTCATTATACGAGTGAAATCAAGTAATTTAAAAATATTTCTTAAAAAAAAATATTTAAAAATAAGTAACCCCATTTGTTCATCCGATTAATCCATATTCTTTTGTTTTAAAAAATAAATGAATAATTCCACTTATTTAAGAGAGTAACTTATTTTTTCTCATTTAAGTAACTTACATACGTTAATATAACCCCTATTACTTAATTAATTGCCTTATACTATGTGATTATATGGAGTGGTCACACCATGTGGCTAGCCACATATAAGACATGTGATTGTAAAATTGACAACATAAGTATAGCAAATTAAACTTACGCTCTTGATTTTCCTTTTGGTTCCCACCAATGGCCTGAGTTGAATACCATAATATCTGCTCCTTTGCACCTCTCAAAATTTTCTGAAAGCTTGTCAAGGATTAGTACCTTTTTACCACTTTCATGGTTTTTGTTAATGTCAACCAAAAATGCACTCCAATAAAATTCTAGAGTGAAGTTATATTCCTGCAAAAACAATCATCTTATACTATTATAAAAGAAATTTTTAACAATATCTATCTTTTTTTTTTTTTTTTTTTTTTTTGACAAGAACAATATATATCTTTAATTTTGAATGAAATTACTATAGAATTAGCCATTTCATTTCATATGGTTTTGATTCGTACCTTAGCTTTCCAGGTGTTTGTGTAGCGTCGGTGTTCGTCGGCTTTGGCTATGTATGAAGGATCTGAAGTGAAGAGAAGGCAAGCAAGAGACTCCCACATATTTCGATTCAGCGAATCCCCTACGAGTATCATCCTCTTGTTCCTCAGCCTTTCTAGCATCTTGGTTCCATTAAACCTAAGAATAAAGTGCACATAAGAAACTATTAAGGTTAGAAATATACCATGCATGTTAAGTACAATCGAGGCTATGTTGTATACTTGTATCCAATTTGGTGTTCATTTGATCTTGCAATCTAATCTACCTAAATACCTCATTATGGTACAATTAAATAATCAAAGAACATAATAGAGAACAAGCACAACGGAATTATTATATGATAGAGGTAGGTAAAACTAATCTTGGATCTAACCATCAGCTTCATTTTTTAATCGATGCTTCAATTAAATATAAGAGTCACAGTGAAAAAATGATAACGATTTCAAATTTCATGCATGGAATGATCCTTTCAAAGTGGAATATTTATTTAGTTGATAATAGAGGAAACCTCAAGGTGGGCCGACAATTATTGGGTCATTCAAATTGATTACTGATAGGATTTTTTTGGATCGCATGATTTTTATTGGGTTCAGTTTCAAGTTTGATTTATTGGAAAGGGTGGAGTCCTTTTTAGTTACATCGCTAAGATGCTTAGATGCTTATTATTAAGATATCCTCTTTGGTGAATTTTTAATTACCAATGTGTGACCAACACATATATCAACGCGGAACTTTGAACAAAAATATCATTAATTATAGGAAATTTTGACAATTACCACCTATTATTGTTTCCATTTTAGCAATTACCACCTACTATTATTTTTTTTTTTGGGAAATTACCACCTACTTTTTTCTAAAACACCAAAAGTTCCCACCTAGTTGGCTCTCAACTACCTTATGACGTCATGTGAGGGTCCCACATAATACATTCCCTCCCATTTTCCTTCCCATTTCTTATTTTCACTCGTTACTTATTCGTGGAATCATTGTCATGTTGCAGCAACAACAATTCTTGTTTCTTAATTTTGGTTTTGAGAAGTGATTCGCAATGTTTTCGATTTCTTTCAACAAAAAATTGAACAAGTATCGAGTGAGAAATAAGAAATGGGGGGGGGGGGGAAGGAGGGAAGGTATTGTTAAGATCTTCAACCTCGAGCTTGAGGTTCATTATCTTAACATGGTATCCGAGCAAACCAGGTGTTCGATCATTTGATCCTAATTCTTGCGCTTCAATTGAGGTTGTTCGTTGTTCATTTGTTCGCTCAAAGTTCTTTGCTATTTAATTTCTGATTTCTCCAGTTTTCGGTTAGTTCTTCGTTTTTCAGATCATCGTATTGTTCGTCTTTTGTGCTTCAATTTTAAGTTACCTGAGTTTCTTGTGCAATTTTTCTGCTGATTTCTTACTTTTTCAATTGTTAAAAAGACAAAAACAATGGAAAATAAAATGCCTATTCTCAAACCTTCTCAAGATCCTAGTTCACCTTATCACTTGCATCCGTCTGACAATCTTGGAATGAAACTAGTCTCTGATAAATTCGATGGAAATGGATATGGAGATTGGAAGTGATCGATGTTGATTAGCTTATCTGCTAAGAATAAATTAGGATTTGTTGATGGATCAATTGAGAAACCTCTACCTAATTCGAATTTGTTTAAGGCTTGGGAGAGGTGCAATAGTATGATCATTTCATGGATTTTAGGAGTTTTTTGATCAAAACCTAGCTAGAAGTGTACTTTACTTTAGCTCAGCTAGAGAGATTTGGCAGAATCTTGAGGAGAGGTATGAAGCTTCTTCTGGAACTGTTCTATTTGCTTTAGAACAGGCTATCACTGAAATTAAGCAAGGTTAAGATGATATCTCAGCTTTTTACACAAAAATTAAGAGATTATGGGATTAGTTAGATAATGTTGATCCATTGCCTTACTATCATTGTGCTAATTGTACTTGCACCATTGCTCAGCGTTTGGTTAAGTCTCAGCAGGACAAAAGACTAGTACAATTTCTGATGAAGTTGAATGATGGATTTGAGGTTGTTAGGGGCAATATACTGCTAATACAGCCACTGCCAGTTCTATTACATGCATACAGATTGATAACGCAAGAAGAGAAGCACAAACAGTTGTTCAAAGGATCAAAAGCAGGTTCTATGTATATTTCTGATGAAGCAGTTGCTTTGGCTGTAACTAAAGGGAGGTACATAATAATAGGTCTTCTTTCCCTCATCAGAATGGTGCTAATTCTTCTAATCAAGGTCAAGATTCTAATCAGAGACAGAATTTTGGAGGAACTAGACAGAATTTTGGCAGACCTAGATAGAATTTTGGTGGAGCAGGACAGAATTTTGAACAAAGAAGAACAGTCAACTACTATTGTGATCATTGCAAAATGCCTGGACACATCATGCAAAGGTGTTTTAAGCTAAATGGCTACTATCCTGATCACAAGTTTGACAAGAACAAAAGAGTAGCGGCATATGTTCAGAAAGATAGACATAATTTCTCAACTGATGATAGTGGAAACTTGGTGATTCCATCAGGGTTTGCTCAGCGGTTTCTTGATCATATGGCACAGCAGAAGTTGATAAATGATCATACAGGAGAGGCTAGTGCCAAATCTGCAAATGTTGTAGGTAAAGCTTGTTTGTTATCCAATAAATTCTCTAATTGGATAATACACGGTGGTGCTTCTCATCACATATATCATGATAAGGATGCTTTTATTTCCTGGTATGAGTTCACTGAAGCTGATAAGCACATAGCCATTCCAGATGGGAGGAAAGTGATCATTCTCATAAAGGAAATGTGAATCAAGGAAATGATATTGTGCTACAGGATGTATTATATGTAGCTGATTTTAAGTTAAATCTCATATTTGTCCCTAAGATATGTCATGATCTGAACTGTAATGCTATTTTTACTGATGATACATGTGTTCTTCAGGCATCTTCAATGAAGACACGTGTTCTTGGTAAGCTGAAGAATGGGTTATACTACCTTGAAGAATCCTTGATCAACTCTCAGAATAAGGTGCTTGCTGTTGTTGTTCCTTCTTCACAGCAAGAAAGTCACACTAAGCTGTGGCAGTTGAGGATGGGCCATTTCCCTATTTCTCAACTTGGGTATGTCTCCACTTTCCTCACTTCTAGCAATAAGCCTTCTTTGAGTACTTGTTTTTGTCAGATTTTCCGTATTGCTAGGCAAAGTAGAATGCCTTTTCATTCTAGTTCCATTAAAACTACTGTAACATTTCAGTTGTTACATATTGATGTTTGGGGACCCTATACAGAAGAAACACATACTCGTTGTAGATTGTTTCTTACTATTGTGGATGACTTTTAGAGGATGACTTGGGTATTTTTCATGAAATACAAATCAGATGTTGTTACTGTCTTCTCTAATTTTGTCACTTACATTAAAAATCAGTTTAGTTTTACTGTTAAGAATGTAAGGTCTGACAATACTCAAGAACTTTGTGAGGGTGAGATGAAATCTTTTCTGGTTCAAAGAGGGATTCAGCATCAAAGAAGTTGTCCTGACACCTCTCAACAGAATGGGGATGTTGAGAGGAAACATAGGCATTTATTGGAGACATCTAGGGCACTTTATTTTCAGTCTAAGTTGCCTAATTCTTTCTGGAATGAGTATGTTCTGTGTGCTACACATCTTATTAATAGAAATGTCATTGTCTGTTCTAAATAATAAGAGTCCTTATGAGATGTTTTTTGGGAAACCACCTGATTTGAGCTATTTAAGAGTTTTTGGTTGTTTGTGTTCTGTTTCAACAACCAAGCAAGGTAGAAGCAAGCTTGATCCTAAGGCTACATCTCATGTCTTTGTTGGCTACTCTCCTGGTCAAAAAGGCTACAAAGTTCTGAATCTTGAAACCCTAACCATTCATACATCCAGAGATGTTGTTTTCAAAGAACAACACTTCCCTTTTCATATTTCTAAAACCCACTCTACTTCTCCTTTATCCTTCTTTCTTCCTACAGTTACATATTTTATACCTTTTCATGATATAACTTTCCAGAAATATTCATACCCACACCACCAGACCCATACCCACACCACCAAATACTTCATCACCTTCTCAGCCTTCTTCTTCTTCTTCTTCTTCTTCTTCTTCTTCTTCTTCTTCTTCTTCTTCTTCTTCTTCTTCTTCTTCTTCTTCTTCTTCTTCTTCTTCTATTCTTGTTCTCTCTGATCCACCTCAGTTACAGAGATCAGATAGGACAAGGAAGCCACCTTCTTGGATGGAGGGGTACTACTGTAATGCAGTTTCCCATCACTGGTGCAATCTGGTTAGTTTTTCTGACTTGCCTATCCCTCATCAAGCTATTGTTACACAATTGGAGTCCTTTATTGAGCTTGTTTCTTATCAAGAAGATGTTAAGGATCCTAGATGGATTGAGGCTATGCAGAAGGAGCTTATGGCTCTAGAGGTCAGCAAGACCTAGGTTCTTGTTAATTTTCCTGTTGGTAAGAAGACCATAGGCTGCAAGTGGGTCCTTAAAATCAAGCGTAAGTATGATGGCACCATTGAAAGATTTAAAGCTAGATTTGTGGCCAAGGGTTTCACTCAGAAATTTGGTGAGGATTACACTGAAACTTTTAGCCCTATTGTGAAGCTTTCAACTGTGAGATGTGTTATTGCTCTAGCTGCCAGCAGAAGGTGGACTTTGTTCCAATTAGATGTCAATAATGCATTTCTCCGTGGAGATTTGCATGAGGAAGTTTATATGAAACCTACATAAGGATTTTTTTTGGTGCAGAAGGGAAGGTATGCAGACTTCTAAAGTCTTTATATGGCTTGAAACAAGCATCCAGACAGTGGTATGCTAGACTTGTTGCTGAGCTACATGTTTTGGGATTTTCTCAGTCTAAAAATGATTATTCCCTTTTTCTTAGAAAGAGGAGTGGTCTTCTTACATAGTTGCTGCAGTTTATGTGGATGATATCATCCAACTGGTGATGATATTGATGGGATTACATACTTGAGAATGCACTTGGACAAGGTGTTTAACATTAAAGATCTGGGTGTTTTAAGCTATATCTTGGGGATTGAAGTTGGATATTTGTCTTATAGGGTATGCTTGACTCAGAAAAAGTTTACTAAAGAGCTTTTGCTTGACTGTGGC